AGAGAGAGAGACATGAAACAAAAATAAGCCGCCGTCAGTGAGTGTTGCTGTGCGCTGTGGCGGGGTCCACTTGTCTTGATAATGTGAAAAGGGTTTACCTGTTGGCTGGCTTCTTCAGGTTGAAGTTCTCTTCTCGAATGAAAAAAAAACACTCCCTTAAGATGAAGCGAAGAGCTGTGAGCGGATTCCTGCTCAGACACTAGGACTCTGTTGAATGGATCTGACATCAACGGTGACCAGATTCAGTCAAGCAGTCCATGTTCTGTGTTTTAAGTGTTTTTCCAAGATTTTCCCAACTGAAAAAGAGAGCACTTTCCTATGCCCTGTAGTGTGCAGTATGTATGCTTGCTCCTCCGGAGAGATGAGGTGAATCGAGAGGAAAGGAGAGGAGGAGAGGAGAGATAGGGAACGATGATAAACAAATATAGATCTAACAGAGGTCGTGGCAACAGTCACTGCCAGAGGGCAGGCCTCTTTGCTTTTGTCAGTGATTGGGCCCTTAATTCTCAGAAGGAAGTCTCCCTTTTGCTTCTCTGGCTCATGGGTTGTGTTTGCACAGGGTGATTCTTCGCAGTACGACATGCTTCTGGAGTACGTAAAGGATTTGCAGGATGGCGATGGGGTAAGGGAAAATAAAAGAAAAGGAAAAAAATAAATCATGACTGCAGTTGCTGCTTTGTGAATCATGAATGCTGTGCAAAAAAATGTTTCCATAACTCTTCTTAACTGTCACTCGTTTTTTTCTTTTCTTTTTTTGGCTCTGTAATCCTGTGAATTGCTCGAGGAGATTGATCACATGCAGCCTTATAGAGCCCTCCTTTGACCACCTAATCCTCCATAACACCTTGGAATGGCATCTGGCTATGGCGGAACATCCAAGCCTAGCTCAGATGTTGAAAGGGCAACGTAAATGCTCCCATGCCCTCTCCAACAATATCCGCCAGGCCTACACTGCGGGGTGAAGTCCATAACCCACGGGACCCCTTCAGGGGCCTTCCTGGGAGAGGGGAGGAGAGGGGAGGAGAGGGGGTGAGAGGGGAGGAGAGGGGACAAGAGAGGAGAGGGGAGGGAACAGCACCTGGGTACTGAGAGAGGAATGGTGGCGCAGAAATTCATGCAATGCACTTCCTCGTTCGAATGTCTCAACATGAACGCGTTCAAATACCTGAAAGCCAATGCAGCGCCAACCTTGGAGATGAAGATGCAAGTCCACGTTAGCCAAAGGTGAGTCCCCTTCCTGGTTCCCACCTCCTTCCTCCTCTTTCTACCTCTATCACACCAGCATAACCTAGGTAGAGGTCCTTCTCCCTCACCTCCATAGCCTAGGACTATTACTACCCCCTCCCTACTACACCTCCGTAGCCATAGAGGTCTTCCTCATCACCCTCCAGCTCCACCTTCTTCCTCCAGGAGCTCTGCTACTGTTCATTGCACCGAATGATATACTTCGCTTCCCTGCTTCCAGTACCTCTTGGCTGGGGACTTCAGCCTCTGCACCGCCTCACATTAGTGCAGTAGGCCTACCCAGGGTGTTCCCTTCTTTCGGCGGGAGCACCATTGCAGACCGAAATCTACGTACAGACCTTGGACCTAGACTGCTTACCTCCTGGAGTCAGGCCCTGGGCCATCATCACCTACAGGTAAGCTACCGGACCTTACAGACCCAACCGAAGTGCTGGAAAATCCCTACCCGGTCCCTATCAAATCCTACTCATGTTGCATACTGTAACGGTGCAGACCAGAACAAGAACCGACCTCTCACACAAAGTACAAGATAGCGTAGTGGAAGACTTCAATGATCCGAACAATCAATATTGCAATGCAGCCCCGAACATACATCATCATCATCACTCCATGGTGTGAAGGGGCCTGGCGCTCACACAGGAAGAATGCGCCAGTCCCCAGCCATACACAGACGAAGAGGAGGGGGGTTAGACGAAGAAGAGGGAAAGATGGGAATGTCGTCAACACCAAGCCTGTGATACAGGTCCCAAATAATCCGGTCCAATGTCTGAATCCCAATGTCGAGTCTGCATCCAATGTCGTCAAGTCTCAAGTCACAACTCTCTCTCTCTCTCTCTCTCTCTCTCTCTCTCTCTCTCTCTCTCTCTCTCTCTCTCTCTCTCTCT